TGGGGCCTCGTCGTCTCCGTTGATGATGCGTTTGATTGAGGCGCGGTGTGGCAAGGGGCCAAGAGGGCAGATCAGATCAGAGCAGCACAGCGACTTAGTTAAGGCTGCAAGTTAATTAATTGCTGCAACTGCAACGAGCCAGCCGGCGAGCGAGCGAGCGGAATCTCTATCTCGCTTGCAGGTGGGCGTGGAAATGGATATGGTCTGAGGTTTTTTTTTTGCAGGTGGTTTTGGGAAATTAGAAATCTGAAGCCGAACTGATCTAACCGGCAGATAAGCTGAAATATAGAGACAGAGAGAGAGAGAGAAATTCAACGAGTCGTGAGGCGGGTTTGATGCGGTTTTTCTTCAGTCATGATTCTGTAGAATCTTGTCGCGTATTCACCCACGTAAAAGAGATTTCTATGCTGGAAAACTCCTACATTTTCTGTGCTGAAAAGTTAAAAAAATTTCAGCATTTTCTTCTAGAAAAACCTCCAGAAAATTACATCATTTTCTTCTACTGAAACGTCTAAAAATTTCAGCTTTTTCTTTTATTGAAAACTCTACAAATTTTTTGCATTTTCTTCAACTAAAATCTCTAGAATTTTCAGCTTTTTATACCCATAATCAAAAAGAGTTAAGGGCTTATTAGAGCTTACAAATTAATATACTGACTGAGTACGGGTATAAAAGTAGAGTTGCGTCCAAAGAAGCGACTCACACGTCCCTTCTTCTTCTTTTTCTTAAATCTGAAGATTTTTTCTTAATTTTCTTCAATTGAAATTCTACTGAAATTTTATTATTTTGCTTCTACTGAAAACCTCCACGATTTCTGTTCATCTTCTGTGACTTCTGCAACTCCCTTTGACAGCTGCAGCTGCTGAGAAAATGGTGGAAAGTGTTTGCGACAGAAGACAGAATGTCAACCGAATGAAAATTACTGCTGAAACGAGTTTCGCTCGTCTTGCCTTTGTCTTCATTCCCTGCTGGAATCTTTCCCGTTGTCGGGTTGTTTGCAACGAAATTGAAAATACATTTTTAATGATTTGTTGCTCAGAGATGCATCCACATGTACGCCAGGCGACGGCAGTGGCAGCGGCAGCGGCAGTGGCAGTGGCAGCGGCATCAATCGCTGGTGGAGAGTTTGCTGCAGGTTCGATGAACCGCCAAAAGAAGGAAGAAAGAAACTCTGCGCGCTGTCTATTCACGTGAATCATCATTCGTGATCAGGTTTTGGTTGCACGCGAACAGCAGCAGCAGCAGCAGCAGCGGGGGGCTCCTCTTCAATTTATGGCATTGCTCCAAAGTGGAGCACTTAAAGGCAAACAAACAGCGAGACAAAGACAAAGCCTTCGAAAGAGACAATGAGGATCGCTTTGGTGCTGCTGCTGCTGCTGCCAGTCACGAAGGCATACAACAAAAAAGTGATATTTTATTTGTGAAAGGGAATGTTGTGCCGGTGACTGTGCCCCTAAAGGGTTTGAAGGATCCTCTACACATCTCCGAGTATCTCCGCATTCTTGTGAAATTAATGCCTGTCAAAGAGCTGCCTCTCCTCTTCGTGGCATTGGCCCCACAAAAGTGGAGACTTGATTAATTGTGCAGCCTTCAAACGTATCCGTTAGATACACTTGACTTTTGCGTAAGTGTGTGTGTGTGTGTGTGTGCGTGTGGCCTGGCAAATGAAATTGAATATGCCAAAATATTGCCAAGACACTTGAGGCTGTCAGTGGCATCCGTATCTATGTATCTATGCTGCTGTGTATTTGTCTGTGTGTGGATAATGAAGTGCTGCAGCTGCATAGATACATATCCATTTGACAGGGTGAAAACTTGAAAACAAATAAGCACAAATACAAAAGGACCACCACAAGCAGGACATTAGAATATCTAATAGATGCCTGCCTGCCAGGCTGCCTGGCTGCCTGGCCCGCTGTCTGCTTGAGTACATTCTGAAGGATAGCCTAAAATGTGACAACAAGCTGTCGTACATGTGTGTGTGTGTTAGTGTTGTGTGTGTGTGTGCTTTTGCCTTAAGATACAAATGTATCTACAGCTGTCATATCAAGTGGCACTGCCTTGCTGTGTGTGTGTGTGTGTGTGTTTTACTGTGGTCAATGGCATTTGCCTAAGAGGATTTTAAAATTTTAAATTAAGTGGCATTGCTTTGAGCGCACGAAGGACTCTGACTCTACTCTCTGGGTCTCTGACATCCTGCGGTTTGCTTGCATAATTGTCCTCCAGTCATCCGCATCCGTTCGTTCGTTCGTTCGTTCGTTCCGTTGCCCAGTCCCCTGGCGAAAATGCAATTTTAATGCCTGACAGCAGCTCCCAGTGGCAGCACCGAGAGAGCAAGTGGAATGCCATTCCATTCCCTTAATTTGCTCTTTGGCTCTCATTGTTTAATGCTTGGTTACATCCTAAATGGCCGTGCTAATTGAAAGATTGCCTTCGTCCCTCCTACCCTCCTACCCTCCCACCAACCAATCTGCACTCACACCCCCGCCCAGATGACCGAAAAAGTATCCATCAGATACTACTTCTCGTTGTGGGCTTGACCCTCCGGGCCAAAGTCAATTTGTCGTTGTACTTAGCCGCACACATAAATTCCCCAAGTCCTGATCCACAGGCAGGAACTGGGGGACCCCATTTCTGGGGACGTTCACGTTGCACATTACAACTTTGAATGCCAACTCGCAAATGAACTATAAATAAATAATTTCGCTCGCTAGAAAGAACGGCAACGGCAGCAACAGAACAACCAACGAGCCAACGAAACGAGCGGAGCAAACGGCAATGTTCCAGAGGTCATTCAGAACGAGCAACAGAGCGCGAGGGTTGCTCCAAGGAGTTGCACGTAATGGAAGATTGACAGTGAAAGGAGGAAAAGGGTATCTCCAGGTATCCCAAGTAGTATCCCATTGCAGTATTCGGAATACTTTTTCCACTTTTTTTGCTGCTCCTTTTGGTTTTCTGTGCTTTTGGTTTTCCTTTGGAAAAGTGGTCTACATTTTATAGTCTCGGCATAGAAATCTATTGAGAGGTCAAATATATCTAAGAACGTTTTCCTGTATTTTTATAACACTTAAAAGTATCTTTCTACAGAATTTTTTTAGGATTTACGATTTATTTCCCCTTGGTGGTAGGAATTATCTGTGTGATGCATGCCTCAGGGTTTCATTCGTTTGCTTTCTATGAATCTAAAGCATAAAAATGTGCAAAAGAAAAGACCCTTTAAATCTGTTAATTGTAGTCCACCTGTAATTATTAATCAAAAAATTTAAATATACTTTTTGAGTAGAATTTTCTGCTATTGTAGTCCACCTTTAAATATTAATTAAAACAATTAAATATACTTTTTGAGTAGAATTTTCTGCTATAAACTCTTCATATTATTCTCCCTCTATCTTTCTGTCTTATGCTTCTATTTGTCACCTGTTGTTCCACTTTCTACAAAACTAACATATCTCCCCCTGCGTTCACACACGTTGCCAAAAAAAAAACGTATTCGTATATTTTGGGCTGTCAGAAAAGCGGAAACAAAGAGAGTGAGAGAATAAATGAAGTCAAAATAAACAAAAACAAAAAACAAAAAAAAAAAAAAAACTATCGAAACGAAACGTTGGCCGGCAACAAATCGCCCGAAAAACAAAAGAAAAAATAAACACAAATAACAAAAAGGAACTTTATAACATGTCTGCAGCAGAGACAAAGATATATACTCGTAGTCGTAGTGGCAGATACTTTCATACAATGGCCGGCAGCAGTAGCAGCAGGAATCAGCAGCAGCAGCAGGAATCAGCAGCAGCAGCAGAAACAGTGGCAGGTTCCAGCTACAAGTTCATTAAATAAATTATTCATACGCAACGTGTGCCGAACACACAAAAATGGCAACCCGACGTCGCCGTTGCCGTTGCCATTGCCGTCGCGTCGCTTTGTTTCACTTTTCCGTACGGTACTTCCGTCCGTCCCGTTCCAGGTCCCGTTGGAGGGAAATTCATTGGCAGTTTGTTTTATTTGCCAATGTCTGTGGAATGAAAACGCATTCGGCTTAAATATTTATGCCCAAATGTCTGTGTTTGTGTGAGAGAGAGCACTCCGTCTCTTCCCTCTCTCCCGCTCACTGGTGCAAGTTTTCCATTTTCCGTACTCAATTTTCAGTCACCAGCATTGACATTTTGTAAAGTGACGCTTTAACTTCTGGTGGCCAGCATTATTAGGCTGCTTGCAACCACTTAACTCTGACTAAAGGGAGGATCTGCCACTTTTCTCCTACTGCGGCAGCATCTCCCACTCCTACAGAGCACCACCCGCTTCCACAGAGCATCTCTGCCATTCTGCTGTACAACTATAAAAGTATCTGCCACTCATTTACAATGCAAAAAGCACCCCCTGCCTCCTCCCACCGCAGTCAAAGTATGCAACACTTTTTTGTCCAGAGCAAATCAAAATCTAATTTCATTTCAACTCCTGAAATGACATCCCTGCCCGCTCTCCCTGCCCACAACTCTTTCGTCATTTATTTGCATATGGCTATGAAATTGTAAGCTGTTAAATGGAATTTTTTAGATAGTTCTACCCTACCTGAGGTGCACCAATAAAAAAAAGAATCCATAGTGAAATATGTAAATTCCATTCCTGAAATGTAAATGCCAACACAACCATCCGACAACCGGAGTGCAAGTGCACCACCGCCGACAAGTGGCATGGAATACTCCTACTCGTATGCTGCATTTTTGACAGTTGCAACTCAATTTCTTTCTGACCCCTCCCCGCCACCATTTTGTGGCATGTTGAAGTTTTGGCTGACATTTCTGCTGCTGCCTCTGCCTCTGCTGCTGCTGGTGCTTTGCGGTTGGCTGAACTATTTGCTGTTCTTTCGATTCTTTTGATACCCAAAGGGCTATGAGGAGTGCAGAGGGTATGCTGTTTGCCTTGAAGATCTTACCAACAGCAAGAAGTACCTTCAAAGCTGTCACTGATTCCCAAATATATCGTAGATTATTTTCTTTTCTTAATCAAAAAGTAACTAAGCCTTGGAAATGCTGTCACTTTTTCCATTTAAAAAATAAATAAATCTTCGATTAAATTGGAGCGTTAAATTTACAAATTTACTAAAAATCATGGATAAACCAGTGGTTCATGGTCGCGTTATTAAAATACTTGGCCGCACTGGCTCTCAGGGTCAGTGTACACAGGTCAGAGTGGAGTTTCTGGGCGAGCAAAATCGTCAGATAATACGCAATGTGAAGGGACCCATACGCGTGGGTGACATTCTCACACTTTTGGAGTCGGAACGCGAAGCCAGAAGGCTTCGCTAGAAGAGCACAATGCAGCAGATGCCCTGGCAGGCTTCAAATGTATTTAAAGGTAATTTCGAGTGACTAAAACACACACAAAAGAAATCTCCGCTAATGGAATTTTCCAAACACTTTTTAGATATCTTTGGCGCCTCGGGCAATACAAAAACCATAAAACAAATGCGGAAATCGATAATTAAAGACACCGATTAAGTATGTCTCCCAGTAAGAGATAGTCAAAGATTATCATATTTAAATGATTGTTTTATTACTCTCATAATTCATAGTGCTCCATCATAAAGAATTAAAAATGATTGATTAATTCAATTAAATTTTAATAATTGTTTTTGTTTTTGCGGCGAAGATAACTTGCTGATAACTTTGCTGATAAGACAGCAGGGCAATGCACGTTTTTTGCACCTATGGGAATAAAGTATTTAATTATCTTATCTACCAGATTGAAGAACTCTTTATTATATAAATTTTATTGGCAATACAATTAATGGGTTTCTTAGAAAAATTATGATAAGAAATATATATTTAAAGCTTAAATTGAAGGGCATTCGGTAGTCAGTCGTCAGTCGTCAGTGGTTTATAATGCAGTCAATGTGGTGGATCTACGGGTTGTTAGTGTTTTTTCTATGCAAAAGCAGCACGGGACTAGCAGATGTCGAAGTGGTAATGTTTCGAGTGTGTTCTCCTGAATTAAGAAATAGCTAAGAAAAAAAGTCTACTTACAGCGTGTCATCAACGAAACGGACAGTACTGATATTCAAAAATTATATTTGGATAATCCGTATAGCCACTGTCCTAACGATCCCAGTGCCCATGGTATATATACCGTACAGGTAGGGGAACTAGATCCCTTCCAAGTGTCCTGCGATGCAAAGATGGCGGGTCCTGGCTGGACTGTGATCGCACGTCGAACCAACAAGAAGCTACATTTCTTCCGCGACTGGGAGGAGTACAAGAGAGGATTTGGTGACATCACAGGCGACTTCTTCATAGGATTGGTTAGGCTGCATGCCATTACTAAGTCACAGACCCAAGAGCTATACGTACACCTGGAGGATTTCGAGGGGAACACGAGATATGCCCAGTACGATGAGTTCCACATCGAAAGTGAAAATGAATCCTATCGAATGTCCAAGTTGGGCGCCTTTACTGGCGATGCGGGTGATTCAATGACTTATCACAAGAATGAAAATTTTTCCACCTACGACAGGGACAACGATAATAATAGCGGTAACTGTGCAGTTGAACGCATGGGCGCCTGGTGGTACGACAGTTGCACGAGCAGGTATGTCTGTATATTAAAATAATGATTTAATAATAATTTTAATCGCATAATTTCAGTAACCTTTTCGGCATGTATTTAAATGGTAACGTACCGTCAGGCATGGAAAAAAAGGGAATAAATTGGTACAGTTTTCGCGGAGATCGCTATTCACATAGAGCAATTCAAATGATGGTCCGACCAAAGTGCAATTGTTCTTAAAATAAATCAAATAAAATAAATATTGCATTACATTTTTGTTTTTTATTCTTCCTCATAGCTATACAAAGCAGACAAAAGTTTTCTTAATCCTTTCAGAGCGCAATAACCCTCAAGGAAAAAGTACTTGAATCAAATGTAGAAGCGAAGCACTGACAACCCGCGTATCCTCTGTAATCTCTTTCTGAACATTGCTTGCCACCTCATTATTGTCTGTTTCCCACGCAATTCCATCACTCTGACAGACAGACAGACAGACAGACAGACAGACAGACTGCTGTGCGAATGTCAACGAACTGGCAATTTTTTATAATTTGCCAAGTGAAAAGGAAGGTTTCCCTTTTTGGATTTTACAGAAAACAAATTCATTAAAGCGCAGTCGCCCAAGAACAACGGAACATATGAAGAGTAACGATCCCAAACACAACAATTGACAGTGACAAAGGGGCAGAGAAACAGAGAGACAGAGAGAGAGACATAATGGAGGGAGATGGTAGATGGTAGATGTGGGTGGAGATGCCGCCAGACAGCGGCAAGGCAGAATTTTCTAATAAATCTGCGAGCACTTTTTACTCCAAAACAACTGAGAATTTAATTAAAACTAAGCTCTTCATTTGACGACCACGACAACCGTCCGCCCTTATCCATCCCCCCAATCCATGCCGCCACCCCCCGACCAACCTTCATCTGGGGTCAGTGGGCGTGGCAATTGGCAAAGCAGCTGCAACAGCTGTTGCTGGGGCTACAAAAAGATACAATACAAAGGAAAAGCAAAGCAAAGAAGGAAAAACTTTCGCTTTTCATGGAGTTGGCAAACGCAGAAAATTGTGGGAATTTTTAATGAGTCTCCTCTCCATCTTGGGCACTGGCAGTGGGACACTGGGGATGAATGTTCTTGGGCACTGCCAGCCAGTGGCCCATCCATATGCTAATGATTATTGTCATCATCTTTCAGCATTTAGTTATTCATTATTTGAAATATGTAGGGCTTGTCTCCTTCTGGGCAGGCAGCACCCAAAAAAATTAACGTCAAATAATATGTTTCCATTATGATTTTGTCTTTATCTTTGTCTTTGTCTCTGGTTCGGTTCGGTTCGGTTATCTCTGTGCTTCTCCCTCATTTGGCCATTTAATTAATTTCACTTCATTTTGTTATTAATGCACCCCAAATTATGCTACTCACTTTTTCTCTCTCTCTCTCTCTCCCTCTCCTGTTTTTCCTCTTCTCACGCCATTTTTGCGGTTAAATGACCAGGGAACGGTAGAAAATTGTAGGAGATTATGCATGAAAATTTCGGTGTGTTTTTTCTTGCTTATTTTTTGAAAAGTTTTGCGTTTTTGGGGTCTGGCTGGAAAAAGTTAGCGGTTGTTAAGGAAATTATCCAGAAATTTTTCATGTTTTGAGGTAAGCTTGTACGCAATTTAATTTTTTCTTTTTCGATTTAAGTTCGGAAAAATAGGTCCTTAAAATGTAGGTCAGATCTCGAAGTTGGCCATCTCTAGCCAAAGGATTTGCATAGCAAACACAAAGAACATCACAAAATAAAAATTAACAACACGCAGCGACATGCACACCAATGCAAAGCAGTTCCAGCAGAGCATCCAGCAGAGGATCCGTCAGCAAGGCAGAGAAGCAACAGCGAAGCTCGTTTAGCGGGCAGATGCAAAGCGCAGCGGCGACAAAAATTACGCACCAAAGCGTCAAGCTGGCAGAGGATCGTCCAGCATAGCAGAGGTCACAGACAGAGAAACGACGAAAACGAACAGCAGCGTAATTGTCACGAAGAAGGAAGAGAAAGCCAGCAGCGAAGCTATGCCAAGCGGGCAGAGGCAGAGAGCCGAAGCGCCTAGAGCAGAGCAGAGTAGCAGTACACGAAGATTGAGCAGAAGCACCAAGTACAGGCAGCGACGTCAGCTCATACGCGGGCAGAGACTGATCTGGAGTCAGCAGCCAGAGCGAGAGGAAAGAACGGAAAATTAAAAACTTATCTTTATATAGTTTTTAGAGGATTTTCTAAAGATATAAAGCAGAATATAATTTGCATTCCATTAACATTAAGTTATAAAATGTTAAAATCACAAAACTCCTACAACAAATCCATTAGAAAACCATTATTGCTCCCATTTCACATGGGAGCACTCAGTTAGAGCAAATTGGCCTACAGCCTGCACGCCAAAACCCCTGCAAAAGATTCCAAAATAGCAGCCATGACGACCAGAATACAAAACCCAAAACAATCCGTGCAGCCATCGCCATCGCCATAGAGGACAAAGGACCATACTATGTAGAGGGGGGCGTGCCAACGCCCATGTTATGGTTGGGCATCGATGTCAGCAACAATTTGCCCACCCACAACCAAAGCGAATTCGCAGCGTGACTTTTACTCCCCCCGCTTGTCGCGCCCAGTGGCGTGTCGAATAAATTTTATTTAAATAAATAATTTTTCCATTAACCGCAAACATGGATTTTGGTGCAATTGCATAAATGGAATGTAATAAATGAAGTGCAGTTGCAGTGCAACGAGTTGGTCCAGGGGTCAGGGTTTAGAGCAGGAGGAGCAGGAGGAGGAGTAGCAGTAGGGCAGGTCCCTTTTTGGTCCTTTGTCGTTGTTGTTGCGGTTGATGGCGTGTTGACGCGGTCGCTTTTGGTATTCCGATTTCCAGGTTGCATTGTTGTTGTGTTCCGCATCTACGCTTCAGTTCCGCCATAAATTCCGCCCACTCCCGCCCCCCAATAGTATTTTTTTTTTTATTTTTTGCTGTACTGGAAATTAGTTTGTAATTTGTTTAGTTTACACAGAAAATGGCCGCACAATGCATTTACATATTGCACATTATGTTGTTGCGGTTGCATTGTTGCCGTTGCCATTGCCGTTGCAGTTGCACTTCCATTTGTGCCCAGTTGTTGTCGTTGCTTTGGGCCATAAAGAGCATAAACTATCGGCGGTGGGACATGGGTTGTTAAATTGTTAATGCCGACTTTTAGGCCTCCGATGGCTGCCTTGCCCCGGTATCTATCTGATCTGCATGACTGTCTGACTATGGGGTTTAGTCTATTTAATTAATTAGCTGATTTTGTGGCACAGAGAGAGAGAGAGAGGAGATGGTTGCACTTGTGTTAAATAATAATAAAATGTGAATATGCCTAGAATATGCCACTAGATTAAATTGATTCCAAGTAATTGATTCTATATTCCACTAGATTGAAAGTAATAGTTTTTGATTCAATTTTCATTGTTTGAGGCGAGTTTCCCCGGGATTATTTAAAGATCTTCCCACTCTGTTTGCTTCTATTTTCAATAATGACTGCATAAACAAGTCAAAACTTTCTCTTTCTAGTCTAAATCATTTCCAAATTAGTTGATAAAAGATGCCTCTTCGCGAACACCATTCCACCCTCCCACTTTTACTCATTTTTGATTTATATTTCTATTTATATCTCGAAGATCTTCTCCTACATTTCTCTTCCGTCATTGCCTCGCTGCAGATACATATATTTCTCATTCATTCATTAATTCGAAAAATTATAAACCACAAAAGTTTTCCTCAAACTTTGCCACTCATCACTGAATCTGCCAATGCAAGAAGTTTTTGTGTTTATTTCAGAATTCACTCAAAGTTTTTGTGCCACAGTTATCCAAACAACATCCACCACAAGCGACGACTTCCTAGTTCCATTGCCCTGCCTGCGTGCGGATGGATGTGGATGGGGGTGTGGGTGTATGGGGGTCTGACTCTGACTCTCTCTCTGGTATCCATTTGACAATTCAATAGAAAACTGACCGACCTCACGCAGAAATAGCAGCCACAGCCAAAGAGCCGTAGAGCCATAGAGCCACACAGCCACAGAGGCGCAAACCATTCCATAAACAAAGTGATTTCAATTGAAAAATTATACAAAAATAAGAGAGAAATACCAAAGGCTGAGATGCGAAGATTTAGATACTCTAAGACAAAGATCTTTCCTATACATAGGGCTTCGTTCTTCCAAAGGTTCTGTACAACGTTTCTAAGAAAAAACTCTGAGTATATCTCTTGATGCTCCTCAAACTCGACATACCCTCTCCTAGAGTAGCCCTAAAACATTATCACTGGTTGAGGCATTTCCACAAATTTCATGCTCGAAAGAAATGTCTTTCAAGCAATCGTAAACAAAACAAAATTTAGCTTAAAGGCAGAGCTCTCCAGCAACGGGGGCTCTCTGTCGGGTTCTCCACCCACTTGAAGCCATCGTCGCCTCATTGCCGACATCCTGCGTGTAGCATATTTTTTATTTGTATTATTCTATTTTCTGTTATTATCGAAACGTGCAGTGACAATTTGTTCATCGAATTTATGGGCCATTGTGCAATAGAAGCCAATCTGAAACGATGCGACACGATAGTCCGACAGCTTCAAGAAATATTTTAATAATTTTATACGATTTTTACAGCGTCACGTTCGAAAAGCGTTTTCAGCGAATGGAAGACAGAGAGAGAGAGAGAGAGCGAGAGAGAGAACTTTTCCTTCTGGTCGCTTTTTATGAATTTCTAATTAGACAATTTCCAACGCACATTTCTGACACCTCTTCTGTCTCGAACGGGTTAAGACACCACGGAAAAGTCGTAAAGCCCGCAAGGCCCATTGAGGCGCACCGTTTTTACGACATTTTTATTTAATTGCAAAAAATATAAGCATTAAATGCCATCGACATTTTACGACAGCTGTCGACCATTTAGAGCGAGACGCATCACTCTCTGGCCCCTAAAGTGTTGGCCAAGTCATTACATTACAAGCTTTACTGTAATAATATTTAAATTTTTCGTTGAGAATTTCACAGTCTTCAAGGCAAAACGGAAGTTGAAATTGAACATCTTTTGATGATTAATGTGGATGGGGAATGTTGCAAGAAACTTCACTTTTTGATGGGTAGAAAATTTCCGATTTTTTTCCGATTTTTTTAATTGATATTTCCCTGACCAAATATTACCCTTTTTATCTCCTTTTGTTTCTACTAATTTCCTTTGAAATTTCCTAACCGAAATT